CCTCTGCAAGTTCTCCCTTCTCACTCTAACACAGTCTTCATGTACTTGAAGATGTACTTTGGCCATCACATACCAATGTAAAAGAAACCATAAGATCTTGTCCTGAGGGATCATGTAGCCTGAGGACCTTGTCATTAGTCACCTACATCAAGGGTGCTCTGCTGGCCCCTGATTCCTGCAGGCATTGTTCTTCCTGGCCTCCCTCCTCATGTCAGCTGACACTGAATTGCTGACATGTGTGTTACTGGATGTTGACAGGGACTCTTTCTGTGGTCCCACTGCCTTTTGAGGCCTTCCTAATGCAGTGACATCAAGCAGTTTTCTCGTTGACAACCAAGGCCAAAGAGGAGACCAAAAGATAATAGTAGTGTTGTAGGCAGCTAAGTTGGATAGAGATACTATAGGCGTTCAGACAGAGCTAGGCCCTCAAGGAAACAGCATGGAAGACAAGATATGCTGCAACTGTGAGAGAGACAGATGCCCCTGATGTGGGCCAGACCTAGAGACCAAAGATCGAACAAATGCTGACCTCCCGGGAGATAAGCATCCGGGACTGATCATCACCTTGAAGAATCCAGGAAGAGTCACTAATCCAACTGTTACTGGCTGCCTACTGGATAAACTCCTGTTCTATATTCGTGCCTGCTTGCTATGTGACTCACTTCCCCACTTGGTTCTGGATTTAATCAATTTTACCTGAGAAGTGGTGCTTGTAATCTCATTGTTTGACTATAGTTTTGTCCCACCTCATGCCCACCTAAGCGAGTTCCCATGTTCTCCACCTTAGACCCACCTCACTACATAGTTTTACTCTATAAAAGTTCCTGGAAGAGACAGCTTCCTGGGGCAACCTGCTCAGGTCCTCTTTCTGTCCCCCTCTCAGACAGAAGCTTTCTTTCCTCCAGTAAATATTCTGATCTTAACCCCCTTTTGTTCCTAAAATTCATTTTTTGGTTTTAGAGAACATGAATTCATCCAGGTACCCTTTAGGTCAGGAGTTTCATTCTCCTCTATCAGTACCACTCATTCTAAAGGAAACTGATAAAGTCAGGCCCTTTCCCCTTACTAAGAGCTGCAGTAGCCGAGTGGGCCCTAGTGCCAGCCACCTGCCTCCGTGCACAGACACACTTCCCAGGGTGAAGGAGGCGCTCTGGATAGCTCAGGTCATGAAGAGTGCAGAGACACTGTGAACCCTTCCACACAAACCCCTAACCTTGTAACCTGGGAACTTGGCATAATGCGAGCTCCTGCTCTGCCCCTGGTGAACACAGGCTGGCCTGGGGCTGAAGGGCACCACTAGGGAGTGAGATTTTTCTCAGGATCTCTCATTAAGTTTGTATAAAAGGAAAGAAATACAATTTAACAAGGAGGCCCTTTGAGATTGAGCGTAATTTCTCCTGTATACATTTCTGGACATATCAGATTTTAAAATAGCTTTATAAGAAAACTATTCTTCAGTGTGTTAGTTATTGAAACTGTCCTACCTATTTGATTTGAAACTGTCTCATTGCTATCTGTTTATCAATAAAATTATGAAAAAAAGAAAACTATTCTTAAAACAGATGCACTATGTAATATAACTATTAGATTTAAGGATGAGCTAAAGACAATAATAGACTATTACACTATAAGCCTTAAAGTCTACAGTACAGCTATCAGACTTAACGATGCTCATTTTTCAGGTAGGATTACCTAGTTTGTTACTGTCAGCAAATACATAAGCTGCTTTTCTAACTAGAATTCTCTGAGTTCATTTTTAAAATAAATCACATGCAGTAAATTAATCATTTCTGATATTCAGTTCTCTGAGTATTGACAAATGCATATTATAATACAAAATCAAGACACACAACCAGTCATGTCACCCCAAATTCTTTATGTTCTTTTGTAGTCAATCCCTTTCTCACCCTTAGCTCCTCAAAACCACTGATTCGTGTTCTGTTCTCGTCCTTTTTGCTTTTCTAAAATGTAATATAAGTGGAATTGTGTGGTATGTAGCCTTTCAAACATGGATTTTTTTTTCATAAAACACAATGCAGTTGAGATTATTCCATGTTCCTATTTGTGTCAGTGATTCATTTTTTCATTGCTCAATGATATTCTACTGTGCATAGTTATAGTTTGTTTATCCATTCACTAACTGAGAGACATTTGGATTGCTTCCAATTTTGTGGTGATTATTAACAAAATATCTGACTGGAACTGATGGACCGATGGTAAGCATATGTTTAACTTTGCCAAACAGATTTTCAAAATGGCCATATCATTTGCATTCCCGTTAGCGATATATCTACATTTTAGGGTTTTTTTAAAAATTTGTTTACATCCTCATAAGCCATTCTAAAGTCATTCTAATAATTGCATAGTAGTATTTACTGTGATTTAAATTTGCATTTCTTGCATGACAAGTCGTAATAAGCATTTACCTGTTATTGTTCACCATTTGAATTTCTTTTTGGTGAAGTGTCCATTCAAAAAATTTCCATGTTTCATATTGGCTTGTTTTTTTTTTTTTTTTTGTCTTTTGGAAGTTCTTTATTCTTTCTTGATAGAAACCCTTAAGTCAGATATGTAATATGCATGTATAACTATTTCCATAGCTTGCCTTTTTAAATTATTATTAACGAGAACACAGAGTAGTTAAAAAAAAGGGAGAGAGAATTGATACAGTATACCTTGTCTTTTCATTCATTTAGGAGTGTCTTTTCCAAACAGAATATTCAAAATTTGAAGTAACCCCAAATTAGAGGCAGTATCAGGAGCTGGAAGCCCACTGGGGAGCACTTGTTATTTCATCTGGTCATCCACTTTGTGTAGGAGAAGTGGACGCAAGACAAAAATATACATTAAACCTACGGACAATGAGAAATGCTTTGGCCAGGGTTCCCGGCCTTGGCCAGAGTCAGTGTGGAAGAAGACCTGTGAGCAGGAGGTCTGGGAACAGAAGAGCCTGTGGGAGTGGCTACGAAGAGTGAAGATCAGTGTACTGCGTGTTGCACCCACCACAGAGGAGGAAGAAGACGACCAA